CTTGCTGTTCGAGCTACCGCTCGATCTTCTCAAACTGGGCTTGGAATACCAGTCCGAGTTGCGCCGTAACGGACTGTAGAAACTCGGTGGTGTTGAACTGACCCGCCATTGGAGGCCCTTCGTCAATGGACTCGTCGGAATCAACTTCTTCCTCTGGCTTCCGTCGAACGGCAGGAGACAGGTCCTTTGGACCTCGTCCAAGGCGCTGTGGTGTCCACTGAGTTTGAACACAGGCTCTGATACCACTTGATAAGCCCTCGATTGGCTTAACTTAGAATCACTTAGCGATGAAACAACGACGGATGTATTTGGGATGAAAATCGGTGGAAAATAAAACGAGCTAAATCAGCAACTTCAACACGAAGAGGGAAGAGGCTAATCCAGGTAGAATACCACGAGATCAAGTGTGAATAACCTGACCTCTTGGTCTGCAATTCTCGGCCAACTCACCAAGAACCAAAAGCTCGCAAGCTAGAAAACTCCTCGGAGTAATTTCAATTAACTTCAACGTGTCCTGTTACAACTCAAAGCTTGAGTATTTATAGCCAAGAAACCTAATTACAATCCTAAACAAAAAAGGCAACAATTCTGAATCAAACAAGGAAAAAGAAACGTTAAAACAATAAAAACTTGCATCCCAAGTAACTAACTTCTCTCACCAGTTAACTGTCCAAAAACAGCCCTTGATGTCAACTTCGTGGTCCTGGAAATCGACCTTCTGGGTTGAGTCGAGCTCAGCCAATTCCTTCCCTTGGTTTAGAAAGTTTTACTCTTTCATTTCCAAGTCCAAGCTCCATCTGGTCATGCCCCAAACTCCTTGAATTCGAGCTCAAAGTTGGTACCTCAAACTGTCTTCCTGCCTTAGCCAAAAACTGGCAGTTTCCAGAATGCAGTATAGGGTTTTGATGGCCTTGAAAAACAATGCTCCTGACCTTCTTTCCATGATCCAAAGGCATCAAACTATAGAAAAACATCCAGTGTTCAAAATAAGACCCCAACCTTGCATTTCCAGTGAATGGTTCGAGAGAAACATCCCTCCAAAGTACCCTTCCCAAAACTGTCTCAACACTTAGAAAATTTCCAGCCTTGTTCGTATTAACTTGACCGATCTTTGAACGATTTGTTTGATTTGATTCAGTGGTGGAATCGAGATCATATCATCGCGCATGGATATTAAATACTTTGCATTATTTATCGACAATGAAACACAATTTACTTGGGTTGACTTTCTATGTCAAAAGTCAAAATATGATGTGTGGCTATTGAGTTTATTCAGATGGTCTCTACTCACTTTGGTAAAGTCATCAAGATATTCTGGATGGATCCAGGTGGGGAATTCATCTTGAATCCATTCAAGCTTTATTCAAAGAAAGTGAGATTCTTCCTCACCAATCATGTCCTGGTGTATCACATCATAACGGTCTTGTTAAAAGGAAGCATTGGCATGTGCTTGAACACACTCGTGCTATGCTATTTCATTCACAGGTGTTGGCTACTTTTTGGGTCGAGACGGTTCTTACGATAGTGTACCTGATCAATCGCCAGATTACTCCGATCCTAAAGCAGCAAAAGTCCATATGAGGTCCTCTATGATAGATTGCCAAACTATAAGTGGTTATGCATATTTAGTTGTGTCTGCTATATGCTCATATCACGGCGAGAGAGGACTAAGCTAACACCAAAGGCCATTAAGTGTGTGTTTTTGGTTATAGCGAGAAGCAAAAGGGGTACTTGTTCTATGATGAGGAGAACATGACGGTTCGAATATCATGCCATGTGGTTTTTTTAGAGCATATATTTCATTATCAAAAGTCTAGCTCAAAATCCTCCACGTCAACACATCTTGATTTTCTACACTTCGGTGAGTTGTCCACTTTGGGTGTTTCCCCAACTGATTATTTTAATGGCGATGGCGAGTCATTCGGGATTTATTCGACACACTCCTCATCGAGCTCCACATCATCATCTTCACCTTCAAGCAGTTCGAGTTCGTCCTCGTCAACGCCGTCCGCCATGGCTTCCTCCGTGCATGCAGACTCCAACTCTTCCTTGACCTCGTCATCAATTGAAAACTCTAGCTCTGCCTCATGCAACTCATCTTGTGCATCTTTGATGGCTGGCGAGGAAGAGGACGGGGGTCCATAGCTGCAACGATCCACAAGAGCTACCAAAGGAGGACCTCTTGCTCAACATTCTGACTTGTGGCATTTTCTACCTCATCCATCTCTGTTCCAGCGACATATAAACAAGCCAAGGGGATTGCTATTTGGGAGAAGGCAATGGGTGTTGAGACGAAGGTGTTGGAAGCAACTCATATGTGGGATCTTGTTCAACCACCGCCTAAGTTCTCTATTATCGGAAGTAAATGGGTCTACACAATAAAGGTGAATCATGATGGCACAGTAGAGCGTCATAAAGCGCGAGTAGTAGCACAAGGACCCTGACAAGAGTATGGCATTGACTATGAAGAAACCTTTGTGCAGGTTGCTGAAATGCAGACGATTCGAAACTTATTGGCAGTTGCTACAATGAAGAATATTGGTTACTTCTTCAGTTGGATGTGAAGAACGCATTTCTTCACGGGGATCTTAAAGAAGTGATTTACACAGATAAACCTCGAGGTTATGCTTGTGGTGATAGCTCTATGGTTTGTTGTCTTCGACGGTCATTATATGGGTTAAAGCAAGCACTGAGGGCGTGGTTGAGAAATTTCATGAGACGATCTTACAAACAGGCTTTCTGCAGAGTGAAAGCGATCTATCACTCTTCATTCCCTCTTCAACTAGAGGTCTAACAATCTTGTTAATTTATGTTGACGACATGGTGGTAACCGGCGATGATGAAGTGGCAGAATTGACAGAAGTGTTACGGTATGCTTTTAATCTGAAGGAACTTGGAGAGTTGTCATACTTCCTGGGTCTTGTAATTCATCTGTCATCGGCTGGGTTGCATGTGGTTCATCTCAAGTATATAGTTGATCTTCTAGAATAGGCAAGAATGGAAGAATGTACATTGCGTGCCTTTATGGAATAAAAACTTTGGTTACGAAGTTTGAGGGTGAATTGTTGACGAATGGTTCTGTGTATCGCAGTATAGTTGGTTGCCTAATATATCTCACCCATACGAGACCAAATATATCATATGTTGTTTAAGGGGTCAGTTAGTTTATGTCGGCTCCTCGAGGTTCACAAAGGACGGTTGTACCATGCATATTACGATATCTCTAGGGTACTCAACATGTGGGCATATTCTTCTCGACTATAAGGGATTTACTTGAAGCGTATGCATACGCTAACTATGCTAGTTGTTTAGTAACTCGTCCGTCTACCTCTGGATGGTGTGTGAAGATGGGTAACTCATATATTTCATGGCGCTGCAAGCAGTGGCGGACCTAAGGCTAGTGGGTGTGTCGTCCGATACACCCTCGCTCGAGAATTTTGCAAAGAAACTACATATTTTTTGTACAAAATTTTTTACTTCGGGATAGCCGACACACCTTCAATAATTATAGCCTATCACTTCCTATTAAAAAAAAAGACTCTCAGCCCATACAATATATATGTGTGATGTGTGTTGGGTCTGGGCCTATAATTAAAAGAGGGGAAAAACCCCACAGGCCAAATGGCCAATAGCCTAGGCGGACACTCTTTATCCTTTAGTTTAATTGCTGTATAAGTTGGTGTTGACTTTACCTATTGCAAGTGCAAGATGCGAAAGAGCATTTTCAGCTATGAAGATAATCAAGAACGATCTTCGAAATCGGTTGAGTGACCAATTTATGAATGATTGTTTAGGTGTGTATATTGAAAAAGATTTGCTTTGCAGCATAAGTGATGAATGTATTTTAGAGACATTTCAACAGATGAAAAATCATCGCGGTTCGTTTACAATTTCTTTTAATTTATACTTAATTTTTTAATTTAATTTAATTATTATTGGATTTTGTCAGCGACACACCTCTCCGACAATTCTGGGTCTGCCACTGGCTGCAAGAAGCAGCAAGAAGCAGGATCGGGTAGCTAAGTCATCTATAGAAGTTGAATATCGGTCGATAAGTGAGGTAACTTCAGAGATAGTATGGCTTTGGCGTATGTTAGCATAGTTGGGGGTGGTGTTTCCCTATTCAGTTAGTTTGCATGCTTATAATACGAGTGCTATCCGCATTGCCACCAATCTAGTATTTCATGACAGAACTAAGCATATTAAAGTCCACGTCCACTATATCCGCCAGCTGGTTGCTGAAGGAACATTGGAACTAGCACATATTACTTCTGAAGATCAGACGACGGACCTACTCACCATGGAGGTCTCGTCTACCCGTCATTGGTTTCTGGCACACAAATTGATGTTGCGAGAGCATCGTCAATTTAAGGGAGGGTGTTAGAACTATGTGTACTACAGTGTAATTGTATTAATTATGGAGTACTGGTATGAGATTTGGGAGCTAGGGTTCGGTCGGTATATATTTGTGTAGAATAGCCAAATTTTGTAAGTAAGCAAGACGTGAAATAAGAGTTGTACTGTGGACTAGTCCTAATGTGAATAGTTGAAAAAACCAAGTAAATTTTGGGTTTGAACGATGATTGTGTTTGTGTGATTATTGACAGAGTACTCAACGGTGATTGGTCTGTACATTTTATTCTTCCACGAACGTCGTCATTCCTTGTCTGTAATGAACTAATGATTAATGAATCAACGATGGTAAGAAAAACACACACAAAAATCTGCGAGAGGGGGAGTAGTAGGTTTGATTAGGGGGCGGGCGTCACAACCCACCCAAGCTAAGTAATAATTATAGCCCATTTAGCCATTCCCTACTCCCCTCCCTCAGTCCTCTTCTGTTCGTCGGCTCGCCATTTTCTCTTTGTCCCCATCCCCTCCCTCTCTTTATGTGCCAACCTTTTCTTCCTCTTCCAGGCCCCACTCGCCAAAGACAAACCCTCCCTCTCTATTTATGCTCACCCCAAACCCCAAAAGCAAAAGCCAAATTGCTCTTTCAGACAAGCTCTCCACTTTTACCCAAACACACACAAACATCTACTGCTAAACTAAACCACCATGGGCAACCTCCGGTTCCGGTTATCGGACATGATGCCCAACGCTTGGTTCTACAAGCTCAAAGACATGAGCAGCGGCGGAGCCACTTCCCACAAGCGCGGCAACGGCAAGAAGTTACACCCGGCAACGCCTCCTCCTTCACAGCCTTGCAAACCAAAGCAACCCCACCACCACCAACAACACTCCTACTCCAGAAAGTCTTACTACTTTACCAGAGACCTTAGCTCCGGTAACCCCAACCACAGTGATAACACACTCCCCAATTCCCCCTCTAAACTCTCCGATCACCCTCCTACTCCTAGAAAGTCTTCGAAGCGAAGAGCCGCCAAGAGAAGGTCTACTTCTTCTGCTGCTGCTGCCAGGTCATCATCTTCGAAGCTCGTTTCCTCCTCCGTTTCCGCTGGTTGCAGCTGCCGAGCAAATTGGACTAAAACGGATTCCCTAGCGGCGGTGGCGGCCGCGGTTCCAGGGGATCGCTCTGCTTCGCTGTCTGATTCCAATTCAGACTCGTTCCCGCCGGAATTCAGGTCTGATTGTTCACTCACTACAGAGTCGTTTGATAAGATGGTGTCATGGTCCAGCAACTCCTGCGGCTGCCCGCTGGACCTGGCTGATTCCGGCTCCAACGACATTATCATCGACATCGATAAGCGCTCTCTCGTCGACCCTGCATACCAAGTGTTTGAAAAACTGCCTGGCCGACAACTCCCTCCGATTTTAACCAAGCCTTCAAGCTTCGACGACAGGATTGAGGATATCAAGAGGAAGGAGACCAGAGAAGTAGTACCCTCCGCAACGAAACAGAGGAGGACCCCGCCTTCGTCGAAGAAAATGGAAGGCTCCAAAACTCGGGCTTCCTCGCTCTCTGTCAAGGTCACAAGAGAAGAGAGCTTAACAGTGAAACAACAAGGGAGGAAGCTGAATTCCGCAAATTCCCCAGGTATAAAGCTTCGGGTCAACTCTCCGCGAATCGGGTACAGGAGAAACATTCAAGGGCAGGGCAGGAAGAGCGTCTCTTCATCAACCTCGACTTCTTCTTCTTCAAGGTCGTCTTCGAGCAAGAAGAGCCTTTCCGGGTGCTTGGCGGTGGTGAAATCATCGTTCGATCCACAGACCGATTTCAGAGAGTCGATGGTGGAGATGATCGTGGAGAACAAACTCAGCGCGTCCAAAGATTTGGAAGACTTACTGGCTTGCTACCTGTCCTTGAACTCCGATGAGTACCATGAGGTTATCATCAAAGTTTTCAAACAAATTTGGTTCGACTATCTAACCAATGCTCGCTCCAAGTGATCATTTTTAGTGTAATAATTATCATTACTATCATTACTATGAATTCAAAAAATTGTACATTCCCCTGTTCCAGAATCTCTCTGTTTCCTCCTGCCCATTAATTTCTCCAATTCTCATGAGTGTTTGAAAAGTTTTGAATTAACGAAAGTGGGTTGGACTAGACTGGACTGTCAGAAGAAGGAAGAAAAAAACATTCTGACTTTGTTATTCAACACCAAAAGAAGATACCCTTTAAGGACAAGCTCTCTGAGATTTGTGTCTGTACTAGTTTTCCTCCATATCTGAAAGTCCGAGTCTCTGGGTAGGCTATAGATGCAGCAGCAGCAGCAGCTTTAGTAGTACCATGCCTCTCTTCTGGATTGGAAAAAAGAGAAGAAAGAAAGCTTTAACAATTGGAGAAAAGGAGGGAAAAGGTGAAGTGAGGGGAGACAAGAGCTGTAGAGGAAGGACCAGAAATTCAAAAAATTGACACTGTGCGTAGGAAAAAAGAAAGGAGCTTTTTTTCATTGTAGAGCACCATGTATGGGGGGTTGGTATTGTACTCTGCTTGAGGGAGAAACTGTTGGGTATGCAACTTTGGGTAAAGTTTTGGCAGGGAAGATTTCAAAAAAGCTGGGGAGAAAAAGAAGAAAAAAAAATATTTTGCCACTAACACGCCATTGCCATGCGCAGCAGTTGTTCATCATCTTCTTCGGTTGAAGGGACTGGAGAGTGGAGAGGAGAGGTTGAAGGGGAAGCAAATCTCTATGCACGGATACACATACACACGAGTGTCGTTTTCCGTCGTCTTCATCCTTTTGTTTAATCACGAGTTAGTTTTCGGAACAGCTATTACTACTAGCCAACGAAGCCAAAGAGGGTAAGAAAGAAGTAAGGAAAGATCAGTTACAGGGATTGTCTGATTGGAAAGCATCGATGTTGTCTCTTTGTGGGGCAAGGAGCTCCATGCTGGATTTGACAATATATCTACTAAATAATTGGCGATTAAGAAGGTGAAAAACACCCACTAAAGTAGGGGGGGGAAAAAGAAACCCCGGATTTCAAGGTCCCTAATTTTGCGGTTCTAGCTTTCCACGTAAGCCTTCACGAGCATCTCTATTTACAAGTAAAAATGTTAACAACCATTGACTTCGCTCTCATCTGTAATCTTCGCAAAATTTGCAGACTTTCTAACTCGGCTAGAAGTATTACTCTACTAGATGGTACTGGTAACCACCACCATGATATTTTCCCCTAAGTTACCTATCTACTTATTAATATATTAATATATATTATTTAATTAATATATAAAGGCTAGGTTTAAGTTACTATTTATTAGAGCATCCACATTGGTATTGCATTCTCAATTGCAAAATGAGATAGCATAGGTGTTTGCAATTGCAAAACCAATTGCATATTTGCAAGCTTGCAACAAATGCAATTTCATATGCCAGTCAAAAAAGCCTACAAAAATGGGGATATTTTATATTTTTTTTTCTCTTTTACTTAATTTTCTATAATTTAAACATAATATTTAATTAAATTTGCAATTGCAAGTTAATTGCATTGATGTAAGTGAATGAAATTAATGTGACGTGGATTTCAAAAAATTTGAGCTGACAATAAAAAACACAAATGCAATTTCTTTTGCAATTGCATTGATGGAGATGCTCTTAGTGGCTCTCACACTCCTCCAAGTGCAAGTGGGGAAATTCCAAATCCTTCTTTTACCCCACTTTTCATTCTACAATTTTTTTGATTATGGTGAGTAATAAATAAAGTAAAAGAGAGTAAAAGGTTTGAGTTACAATAAGAGCAGCACCAGAAGTGCCCTCGAGGCTGGGAAGGAAAGAAAGAGGAAGAAAAGAAAAGAGGGAACCTAGTAGTGACTCAACATTTGATAACATGACTACGACAAAGAATCGAGAACAGTAGGTCTCAAGCGAAAAAGCAAAGAAACCCAGCAAACAGGTTCAAACATAGCAAAAACCAGCGACGCATATGAATCACAAGGCAGCAAGCCAGAGTGCACACTGATTTTTGTTAGCCTTCCCGCGAGCCATCACCCACTCAATGATTGATTTGGAGATCCGTCGGGCAATAATACTGGGTGAGAGGCTTTTGTCGTTGAAAATACGTCGATTGCGTTCCAGCCACAGTTGCCAACATATGGAATGGAGAAGGCAGAATCGGAACCATCCTTCGATGTTACTCAGTGTAGAAGAAGGCCAATTTCGAATGGTTTCGGCGATGCCTCCTTGTACCAGGATGTGATGGTTACATCTTCTCCTGATGACGCTCCACACATGTTTGGAAAACCTGCAGTCAGTGAATAAGTGATCTGTTGTCTCCTCCTCCTTCTTGCACAGTTCACAGCGGTTTGCCAAGGGCCAACCTCTTCTTTTCAAGATGTCAATAGTCAGGATCCTTTTGTGAAACAAGGTTCAAATGAAGAAGCAAAATTTGGAAGGAACAACGCTTCTCCAGACTGAGGCGCAAGGGAATTCAGGAACACCGGGAAAAGAACCTGCAATTAGGCATTTGTGCATAGAGGAAACAGAGAAGGAAGAATCTGGTTTGGGACTCCACACAGGCATGCAGGGGCTATTGTTAGCATTATGGAGTTCCACGGAATTGATGTGTATTAGTAAATTTTGCCTCTCTCTCTCAGCCCCACCCCTCAAATTGAAGTTAAGTTCGAAATTCCATCTAAATGACTCACCATAATGGTTAAGAACGTCTACGATTTGAGCTTCAGGGACGCTTGCGGCAGTATCAACTCGGGGGTAGGCCTCAGCAAGTACAGTTCCAGGTGCCCAACAGTCATACCAAAAGGAGACACCGCTTCAATTTTCCGGATCAATGAAGGCTTCCAGAAATTTTTGTATTCTTTGGAGATAGCAGCCCAAGGAGAGTTGCCAATACCGTTACTGATAGTGGCTCTCGCACTCCTCCAAGTGCAAGTGGGAAAGTTCCAAATCCTTCTTTTACCCCACTCTCCATTCTACAACATTTGTGTTTAGTTATTGTCCACTAGGTTTTCGTCTATGGTTTTTTTGCACAAATCATCGCACTTGTGTTTTGTTATTATTTGCTAGGTTTTCGTCTATGGTTTTTTGCACAAATCATCGTCTTTGTGTTATTATACATTAGTGGCTCTCACACTCCTCCAAGTGCAAGTGGGGAAGTTCCAAATCCTTCTTTTACCCCACTCTCCATTCTACAACCTTTGTGTTTAGTTATTGTTCACTAGGTTTTGGTCTATGGTTTTTTTGCACAAATCATCGTACTTGTGTTTTGTTATTACTTGCTAGGTTTTCGTCTATGGTTTTTTGCACTAATCATCGTCTTTGTGTTATTATTCAATAGTGGCTCTCACACTCCTCCAAGTGCAAGAGGGGAAGTTTCAAATCCTTCTTTAACCCCACTCTCCATTCTACAACATTTGTGTTTAGTTATTGTTCACTAGGTTTTTGTCTATGTTTTTTTTGCACAAATCATCGCATTTGTGTTTTGTTATTGTTTGCTAGGTTTTCGTCTATGACTTTTTGCACAAATCATTGTCTTTGTGTTATCATCGCCTTTGTAGTTAGTTATTGTTCGCTAGGTTTCCTTCTATAACTTTTTGCACAAATCATCGCCTTTGCCCACCATTTTGCAGCCCATCTCGAAATAATGTCGGCAGGATACTAAGTTGTTCCCCACCACCGTTTTCCAAGGCCGCTACCACGAGTTTTTTATCGGGATCGAGTTTCATCCTCTTTAGTGTTTTTTTTTATTCATTTTTGTTGAGTAACCCAAACACATGGCCTTTAGTGTTTGTTGGGTATACTACCTTAAACATAAATCATCGCCTTTAGTGTTTTGCAGACCATCTCGAAATACAGTCGGCGAAATTCTAAGTTGTTCCCCACCACCGTTTCCGAAGGCCGCTACCATGAGTTTTGTATCTGGACCGAGTTTCATCCTCTTTATTGTTTTTTCTTTTCCTTTTTTTCCTCTTTGTTGAGCATGATCACAATTGAACCCAAACACATGGTTATTATAATTTGAACACAAATCATCGCCTTTGCCCACCATTTTGCAGCCCATCTCGAAATATTATCAGTGGAATCCTAAGTTGTTCTCCACCATCATTTCCCAAGGCCTCTACCACGAGTTTTATATCGGGACCGAATTTCATTCTCTTCAGTGTTTTTTCTTTTTCTTTTCCCTTTTTGTTGAGCATGATCACAATTGAACCCAATGCTGCTACCGAAAATCCATATCATATCTACTCAATTTTGGAGAGTTTTGTATCATGACCGAGTTTTGTTTGCTTTAGTGTTGATTTCTTTCGCTTTTTCCTTTTTGTTGAGCATGATCACAATTGAACCCAAATCCATGGGAATCCAACCTAATTCTATCCGGTCAAAGCAACTTGAAAACATACTTTAGCATTTACAAATTTCTCTTTTTTACTTCTATTGGTTGGGAAGACAATTGAACCCGAATCTAAGGTTTTGACGAGTGTTATATTTTGAGCGAGTTTTATCCGCTTTTGTAAATGGCAGGTTGGACCAAGTGTTAATTTGTTAAAAAACTGTTCAAAGCGAGTTGAACACATTATTGACCAGTTTTAGATCGAAAGCGAGTTTTGTAAGCTTTAATGTTTTTTTTTTCATTTTCCTTTTCGTTGAGAATGACAATTGAACTCTTACTCATTGTTGACATGTTTCGTATCGAGAACGAGTTTTATCTGCTTTTGTAATTGACAGGTTGGGTAAATTGTAAATTTGTTAAAACTGGGTCGACCCGGTCAAAACGAGTTGAACGCAGTGTTGAAAGTTTGAGGTCGTGAGCGAGTTTTATCTGCTTTAGTTTTTTTTTTTTTTTTGTTGAGAATGACAATTTAGTCCAAACGCATGGGTATACAACCTACTTCGACCTGACCAAAGCGACTTGAACCCAATTTTACAGGTTTTCGACGGGAGTGAGTTTTATCTGTTTTTGTAATTGGCGTGTTGTGTCAGGTGTGAATTTGTCCAAAACTCGGTCCAACCAGGTCAAAGCGAGTTGAACTTGGTGCTGACGAGTTTTGAGTCGGTAATGAGTTTTCGCTTTATTGTTTTCATTTTGCTTTTTCCTTTTGTTTGCGAAAGACAATTGAACCCAAATCCATGTGCATCCAACCTAATTTGAAAACAGAAGCTCCGATTTGAAAATACAAAATTGTCCCTCCCATATATTATTCTTTTTCTAGAATAGTATTGTTTAATATGAAAAATAGTATTATTTAATATGAAATAAATCTAACGTGATCCATTTTAAATATTTTTTTATTTTTGGAATTTGTATTCATATTTTATGTTAGAAATCTTTTTAGTAATTTTCCATGACCTCTTATATTATAAAGTAATTCTGATAGTTTTTCACCT